ATAAAATGCGCAACGTGCAAGCGGGTGACACGGCGTAAAGCCGGGTCTACAATTGTCGCACGTCGCAGAACCTAAGCTTGCGCAAAGCACCCAACTGACAAAAGAACCTTGCTCCATCGCCACGTCGCGGGGTGCTTTGCGCAAGCTTATGTTCTGCGATCGGACCCCTGCGACAATTGTAGACCCGGCTTAAGGAATGCAGAGAGGAGTGGGGTTTGTTCTGTGGAGTGGAGTGGAGTGTCTGGTACTTTTTAACAAAACAAAGAGTTTAAGTTTAAGTTGATTTTTTTTAATTACTATGGTAAACACCTACTAGTTAACCAAAGAATGTTATCCTTGTTTTATTTTTTATATTCTAAAGTTATGCCTTGTTTGTCTGCTAATTTTAAATAAATAAAAACAATATTTTTATACATCATGTCTTTATTTTTTAAATAGGCATCGTACGCCTATGTTATCGTAAGTAGCGGACTCAGACCAAGCGCCTTTCCCGCGATTCCGAATGCGCCGGTTGTAACCATCCGCACTCAAGATACATACACCTTAAGATAGGATGGTGCGCATGTTGGGCGGGGCTTAATGACGTCACTTGATGAGTGTTTTTAAATCTTTAACGTGATTTTTAATTATCTACTGCTAAAATTCTTGTTTTTGCGATGCTTTAGGATGTTAACTTGCTCTACTTTTTGTTTAACTTGTTGTTTTTGTGTTCGGTAAGGTTCGAATTACTTTTCAGCGTTCAAATTATTGTTATTGCGTTAGGTTAACCTGTTAGGTTTGTTTATTATTGTTTTTGTGTTGCGTTAACTTGTTTTGTTTGTGTTTTAGATTGTATAGTGCCATATGCATTTATTAAAATGCGGTGTGGCATATTTGGATGAAATTCGGACAACCAGTCCAAGAAAAACCCTTTAAATAAAAACATTAAATTTAATCGATTCCCGAAAAAGTTTGATTTGTGGAAACAGTGTTTAAATGCCACTAAAATAATAGACAATATTTACGTTAAGACTTCTGTTTCCTATAAACATTTTCTGGACAGTGGCTATAAGTTTAATTTAAAACACCAACGCTTAAACTACAGCCCTAAATGTTATCAAGGACTGAAAGCATTTATTATCCATATTATAACACTTTCTTCAATATAAAGTTTAATAAAAATGCACTATGTCCAGAAATTTCTCTATTTTCTTTGATAATATTACTATTATTCGTGTATTCGCACGGCAACTACTCATCAAGTGACGTCATGCGCGGGACGAACCAAAACTCGTACACGGGAGCATCCAGCCCTGATCCGCACTCGGCTTTTCATAGCGCATTTGCTTCGCGCATTCGAAATTTGTTTCCGTAAATTTTGATTCCGAATCCGTATTCGAATTTACAGATTGATTCCGGAATATCCGGATCCTTTAAATATTCGGATTCAACGGATATTTGGATACGTATTCTTACATCACTACCATATACCTAGTAAATTTTCATATACTCATAAGTATGTATAGCCTGTTTCATATTAAATGCCATAATGATTGCAGTACACATTAAGCCTGATTTATAGATTGCCTTCCTTCCTTCCTTCCTCCCGTAAAAGAAGAACAATACGAATATTCCCGTACGGGAATCTTTAAACAACACAAACAGCACAAAGGAAGGCAATCTATAAATCGGGCTTAATATATATATATATATATATATATATATATATAATATATATATATATGTTAGGATAATCCCCTTTTTACCAAAGTATGACAGTAGAGCAATAAAGGCACGTGTGCCTACTAAGCAAAACAATCTGGGCACAGCTTAGAAATCGAATGGTAACGCAGAGTCCGCAGAACATTTGTAGAAGTCGAATCATAGCAGTTTAATAAATTTAGTTAAAAAGTAATAAATAATAAGTGAATCCCCATCAAAGTAGTTTTATTCAGGGTAAAATACCCTGATGTTTTACATCAGAAGTGGGATAGTGATTTCCATGTACAATAATTAGTTTAGTTAAGTTAAATTAAGTTAATATATAATAAACAAAAGCAGACAAAGAGTGAGTGCATCAAGATGGCAGATGAGTTATCTAGAGTTGAAAATGACAATTTATGTGGTGATGATTTGGATGCAGAAGAAATTTCACAACCTCCAACCCCAAAACGCGTCAAAATGTGGCAAGAAACTTTAATAAATTTAGTTGTGACGCAACAGCAACAACTTGCTGAGTTAGCAAATCAAACCAAGATGGCAATGTCCCAAGCACCTCTGGCAAGGACCACACCTAGTTCATCTGACGAAAATGCGCATGCGTCTTCATCAAGACATGTGTACTCTTTCCATGTCACAAGCTACGATCCCGATAAAAGTGCCTATTCAATCAAAGATTGGTTGGATGATGTCACCCAGCTTAAAAGGGAACTAAATGTAAGTGACATTGTAATGATCTCAAAAGCAGGAGATGCACTGAAACGTCGAGCATACAAATACTTTTGTGATTGGAGACCCATTTCCCGAACTTGGGAAAACTTTTGTAATGACCTAACTGTAGCATTTCCTGATCGAGAAACACCAGGAGCACGAGCATATACTGCAGCAACTCTTAAAAGTCGTGATTGCGAATCATTGTGTGATTATGGTAACAAAAAAATACGTGCAATAAAAAAATTTCACGATGAACTGCCATGGGATACCATTCTGGGCATGGTAGAATATAATTTAAATAATGCAGAGGCGCAATCAGCAATTAGAATTCAGAAGCCTAGTACAGAACGCGAACTAATGAAATTGTTGAGTGAATACGATGCACGCCGAATCAGCAGTTCTTCTGGAATAATGGAACACAAGCTTGGAAGACACCGAAAAGATCAACGGGATTCAAAAAGTTTTTGTGCACAAAAAGAAACAAAGGTTTTTAAAGGACCCTGTTTTAAGTGCGGTCAACAAGGACATCAGCAAAGCTCATGCTGTAGTGTGCGTAAAGAAAACTCCCGAAGAGAAGTTGTTTCTGCCAATAAAAGCGAATTGTCAATTGTTCCTACTTGTGCGCATTGTAAAAAAATGGGTCATATGGAAATAAACTGTTGGTATAAAAGTGGAAAACCAAAAAAAAGCATTAAAAAATGACGTTAACTGAATTTAACACCAATACCAACAGTGTTCGGTAAAGACGATGCAGTATCATGTAGTTATGTTATTGATAGCGGTGCCGATGTGTCAATCATCAAACGCTCTCTTGTAAACACATTGAACGGTATCTTTAAGCCGAACGAAAAAGTGCACGCGTTGACAGGATTTGGGAACCAAATTGTTTATGTTATAGGAGTGTGTGAACTAATAACTGTGTTGTCGATCGTGACCTAGGATATTTGTTTTGTTGTTGTGCTGGATGAAATAATGCCAAGTGATATTGACATTATTATTGGATGGGTACGATAATTTTGTCGACGTAGACAAGGCCGTCGAAGACGCTCGAAATCGAATGAACTTTAATGCAAACAAACAATCTTTACGATTTAACGCTACTCGATGCTCTACAAAATTGTTTATTCCTGGTGACGTTGTAGCCATTGAAGATTCACAAATTGCTGGTGGAGGCAAATTTAAACCAAAATATAGAGGACCTTATACTGTTCTACAGGTGTTACCAAATGAGAGATATGTTCTGCACAAGAAGGGTCAGAGGAACACAGTTGCTGCCCTTGAACAGCTGAGGCCGTGGCCAAAGGAATAAAAAATGTAAGTCCTGTATTTAATAATAATAATAAAAAGACAAGATAGTAGCAATCCTACTATGCTTGGGAGGTGACTAAACACCTCTGTGAAAGTGGCAATCCCACTGTTGAGGATGGCAAACCCATCCGACAAAAAAAAAGACAAGATAGTAGCAGTCCTACTATGCTTGGGAGGTGACTAAACACCTCGGTGAAAGTGGCAATCCCACTGTTGAGGATGGCAACCCATCCGACAAAAAAAAAAACAAAAAAAAAAAAAAACAAGATAGTAGCAATCCTACTATGCTTGGGAGGTGACTAAACACCTCGGTGAAAGTGGCAATCCCACTACTGAGGATGGCAATACCATCCGACTTTAAATTAGATTTAATTTAGATATATTTCAACTTTAAAAACAAAAATCTGTTTCGGTTTTTCTTTTTGCAGAAATAAAAAAAAAGAAAAGAAAAAACGGCGCGAGGACGCTCCGAAAACAGGATGGCCGTGTTAGGATAATCCCCTTTTTACCAAAGTATGACAGTAGAGCAATAAAGGCACGTGTGCCTACTAAGCAAAACAATCTGGGCACAGCTTAGAAATCGAATGGTAACGCAGAGTCCGCAGAACATTTGTAGAAGTCGAATCATAGCAGTTTAATAAATTTAGTTAAAAAGTAATAAATAATAAGTGAATCCCCATCAAAGTAGTTTTATTCAGGGTAAAATACCCTGATGTTTTACATATATATAATATTATATTATAATATATTAATTAAATGTCGTGTTCTGTATTTTTGGCATTAAGATATGTTTTTTGTTACATATTTGTCAAAATGTACGTTTATAATGTAGATAAAAAATAATTAAGTTTTTACCTCTATGGACTTTTTATATATACCTATATGGGTTAAATTAAAATATTTAAACAAAAATATTCCATATAGGTAAAAACTATGTTTGTTAAACTTTTTTTATAAGTAGAGTTTATGTTACTTAACAAATAAAATTATGGGGGAGGGGGGCCTCACAATAATTATTAACTTTTCCCACATGCAAATCCAACCCTGGTCCAGTTTATATTATTATTATTGTATTTATTGAGTTGGTTTTATTATTTGAATTAGATATACCTACTTATTTATTATTTTATTTCTATTTGATTTCTGGACCCTAAATATACAATAAAATAATTAGGTAAATAAGCATAACAATAATTAATTTTGTTTTGATCCTAGATAAATAACTATGTTTTTGATTAACTACCTTAGCAGCTGTGAAAAAATATTTCTTACCTTTGTAATATTTAAAACATTGTAAAAGTTATCTTTAACTTCTTCCACCACGTCAAACACTTCCAGTTGTTCGGAATCGAATCCAATTACCGAATTAACGCAAAATAATACAAAAATGACATGGTTTGAAAGCATTTTACCACGTCAATAAATAATTTTGAGGTTATATCAAACGTTTTGGTTCATTTGAACTATGGTTTTATTTGATTTCCTCGATATGGTACAGTAATTTATATACAAGTACATTTATTTTCACTTGAACTAATATTTCAGAACTTTTCATTTTGTTTTTATTTGATTTCTCCGATAAGGTTTAGTTAATGAACAAAAAAGCAGTAAAAGTAAGTAAATATATTTAATTATTTTATAAATAATTCATTTTTTCAAGATCAGCACTGATTTTCCATTTATACCATTATGTCCACTTATTCCACCTTTAGGCAACTTATATTCAATATCCTGTAACTTTTTGTCTGGAGAAAACTCGTATAATTGCATGTTGCTTTCAGCCAGAATGCTTAAACTCCATATACACACATTTTTTGCTTTGCCATGTCTTGCCAAAACATAAAAATTGGTAACTGTTTCAATACCTCCAGAAATAACTGCCCAATGGGCTTTGTGTCCTTTTAAAAAGCCTGGGGAGTTGTCTTTTTCCGTATCATAACTTAATAATCATAGGAAAATTTAATTAAAAGTAATAAAACAAAGTTTGTAAACTATTGTTGTATTAAACATAAAAAAGGATACGGAATTAACACAAACCCACCACCAAGTAAAAAATCCTTTATTTTTTGATTATTCAAGCCTTCAGTATTCAATTTAACTAAATAATCACCCCCCAATACATCTTCAGCCAATATTTTCATATATTCAGCACTTAATATCTCTCCATTGTGTGTAAAATCATTATTTTTGGCAATATTGAATATTTTTAAAACACTTTCGTTTGTTGGGTTCCCCTGAATCATTGCCAAAGCAACCAAACCGCACTGTGGTCCGTTTTGTAGGTACCCAGTTAGTGGGGTATAATTGTATTTTAGTGGTGCCGATAGTTCACATAGTTGAAATAGTGTGCATATTTTGTAAACGTCTGGATACCGCTTGGCCCATGAAAAATCCATCTTTAATACTATGACTAGGCTACATATTTTTGTTGATATAAAAATAGATTTAATTTTTTATAGGTTATAAACATTGACAGTGGTTCAAATGTACCATTAATGCACAGTGGGTAAAAACATGAGTAAAGTGAAGAAATGCGTGGGGAAAGAGGGTTTTCAACGCGTAAATTACTTGTATCAGGTAAATTTAGGTTTATTTTATGTTTAACGCAAAAACGACTTTGATGTTAGAGGTCCCCTATACCGTATAGGGGACCTCTATCCCCAAAGTCGTTTTTGTGAAAAGTATTAATTTTATAACAATTAATATTATAGTATTTTGGGTAATTTTTTTACCATCACTTGGGGCCGTCCATAAATCTCGTGACGCTAAAAATGATCAAAATTTACACCCTTCCTCGTTACAGAATGTGACGAATTTTCAAACTTCCCTACACCTAAAAATCTTTTTACCAAAAATGGTAAATTTGTTAAAATCAATTTCATTCGATTTACTTTCTTACGTGACGTTTTAATAAATACTCTCCCTCGGGCGTGACAAATCTTGACGGTCCTTCAAACCCCCCTTCCCCCTCCAGCGTCACAAGATTTATGGATGGCCCCTTTTTAATTATTGTGAAAATGTGTTTTATTTATTCATCTATAATATATCCATAGATAAATGGTTGTATTGTCCCAAAAAGTGTTTTTAACATGATTTTAATCATAAAGTATTCATCTATAATATATCCATAGATAAATGGTTGTATTGTCCCAAAAAGTGTTTTTAACATGATTTAAATCATAAAGTCAGTTTTAAAGTTCAAAATTGCATTTTTGAAGATATCGACAATTTTACATAATATAATTATTTTTCCTAGTAATTTATCTAAATATATAAATTTAAATTTACCATTAATGAATTAAATTTATGTTTAACTAATATTTATTGTAAACTTTAGGTATCAAACGAGTTGGCAACAGAAAGTATACCATGTAATGTGGCTTCGACATTGTATAGTAACTTATTGGTAAACATTTCAAAGAAAACTGTACAAAGAATGTAAGTTTTTGAATAAATTACGCGACATAATGGTTACATTATTATTTTAAGTGATATTCCAATAAAAAGAACCATTTGTAAAGGATGTAGAAGTTTATTATTAGCTGGAGTAACATGTACTGTGAGAATTAAAAAGAAACGCGCTATTTGGAAATGTGTTAAATGTAATGTGGAAAAAAGATTTGACGCTAGAAGGGAACATGTGCCATGGACACAAAATAAAGACAGTGTAGTGGAAATATTGGATTACAATCCAAATACACAATCTCAATTAACAGAAAATGTATCTAAAATCAATATAGAAGATAGAAATAATAAAGATGTTAGCTAAAAATATGTTTTATTAAATTTAGTTTAAAAATAAATGAAAAAAAAATAATACATGAATGGTTATATTTCACCTAAACTTATACATATGTAACTATATTATTACAATGGAGCCAATCTGAAAAAAATTAAACATAATAAACAACATGGCAAAAGTAATTCTTGATTATTTTTGTGATGTTGCCAAGTACAACCAAAATTCACTTACTTAGATTTTTTTTTAAATAAACACTTGTTCATTTGCTAAACTGTCAGCAAATGGGCTAACAATTTCTTTGGTAGCAAAATAAAATATTAAACCAAATGTTATTGAAATTGGTAATGCTGGAAGGGCTTTTTTGAATATAGCCAACAAAAGTAAAGTCAAGCATAAACCCTAAAAAATATAATTAAAATAATACAAAATGCATTTTCTGCAAAAACTTACAATTAATATAGCAACAAAACACGCCAAAGTTGTATTCCAATCCCCATAACTAGAAGCTTTACCAACCAAAACGCTGTAGAAAATAAAGTCACCAAGACCAAGTTTTACACCACCTAAAAAATTACAAATTACATGCTGTCTTTAATAATTAATAAAATTAAATATTAATAAAATTAGTAATGAATGTAAGAAGTACCTACATTTCGTAAAAAATATAAAAATATTTGATAAAACTTTTAAAACAATACAAAAAAATAGTAAATAGTAAATATAATAATAAATGTAATAAGCTTTATATAATAAATTTTGTAAAACATAAAAAAAGTTAAGTGTCATTGTACTTGCAAAGAATGTGTAATAATTTGGCTAAAAACTGAGTTTTCAATTAATCTGTTTTAAATTAATTAAAGGGGAATTTTTTTATCCAATTTTGTACGAATTTGTGCAGTTAATCTACGGCAACACGGCTAACTCTTAAGATGTAACGGCCGGCCGGGCATAGATGTTTACTCATTAAAAAATTTGTATATCTTGTTAAATGTAAAAAAGGCGGCAACCTTCATAGAACTTTTATTTTCAACTTACGTTCTTCTTCTTCTTGGTGCAATTGAGTTCTGGGTTGTCCACTGGGCACATCATGCACCTCTAATTGTCTTTGAGCCACTCTTTGAGCATGATTTTCAATCCAATCTTGTGTAAAACCATGATCACTGGAAGATCTGGAAGTCGTTATTGTAGATGATTCATTGTCACCAGTCGCCATTGTGGTGTAGGCATACATGTAGGTCGCTAAAAATTATATATATATAATCTAGAAACTTGTGTAAATTGCAAAAAAATTCCAACAAAAAAGTCGACTCTTGGTAATAAATAAATTGGTTTAACTCTCCGAATTGGCAAAGCTTAATGAACAGCCAATCGGAGGAAACGCATTTTCCTCCTGAGGTATGTATATAGTTTTTTCTATTACCTTTTAAGCTTTCCGGTTCCTTTTACTAACCCAGTATGGCCATAGCCCCATGGGGCTATAATATTATGACAAAATATTAAGTAGGTGTTGCGTCACCGACATTATGTTGACAACGCTTTGTTGCTATGGTATTTTTTGTAATACAAACATAACAGTTGTCTGGTTGTTTATCATAAATTTGAAAATCTTCCTATAGGAAACGTATACGTTTTGAAAATGATTTCTAGCGAAGAAGACCTGCCGCAAAATCTTGCTAAAGAGGCAAGAATAGTTGCAATTAATCTCCTTCCTCAAAAATCGAAAGAGCGATATGAAAAGTAATATAGTTTGTTCAAAGAATGGTTGGACAGGCGCGGAGTTTACTCCGATTTATCTTTTTTCTACAAAATCAAAAAGGACTAGACAAGATACAAAAAATTTTGCTGATGTAAAATTCTTTAAAAAAAATAGAGGGAGGAAAATTTTATTCCCCTTCTGTGATTTATCTTTCCTCGTAGATGTGTCCCATAAAGAAACTATATGATACAAATATATATACACATACACACATATATATACATATATATAAATAAAAACAGGGTGTCCCGAAAATAGTGTGCAATACTCTAGACGTGGTTTTTAAAGACAAAAATAGGAAGAAATCTTCTTATAAACATCGGTCGGAAAATGGCTCCTAAGGGAGCTGCAGTCTTCTAAAGGGGTATCTTTAGCCCAAAATTTTTTGTGTCTAATTTTGTACGCAAGTTGGCTGCAGAATAAAAAAAATTAGAATTTCCTTAGGAAAAAAAGTACACTTGTTAAACATATATGAACCATATACCTATTATATGTAAGGTGACCAACCGTCCTGGTTTACCCAGGACAGGTTCTGGTTTTTGCTAATGTGTCCTGGTTTTGCCCTGGTTTTGCAGATTTGGTCCTGTTTGTACTATTTTTTTTATAATTGACGTAATCTCGCCTAGAATATGGGTCAACAATTTGGTCACCATCTTATAATGTTCATGTTGATAGAGTCGAGTCCATTCAGAACAAATATGCTCGTCACATGAAGTACAGACTGCTCAGAGTTGGAATAGTATTAAGTACTCAGGATACCTTGCAATATCTAGGACTAAGTTCGCTCAAGAGGCGCAGATTAAATAAGGATGCTTGCTTCATCTTTAAGGTATTTAATGGCTTGCTTCAATCTTCTGAAATACTGGCCTCTTTTAACTTGAAAATACCGACGAGGGACTTGAGGAATCCCATATGGGAATATCTAATAACATATGTTATTAGATATTCCCAACTGTCGCACAGTATATGCCAGTAATTCTCCGTTGAGTCGGGTTTCCAGAATATGCAACAGTCTCTCCTCAGTAAACTTTTTTAATTGCTCTTTGGCATCCTTTAAAACCCAGCTTAATTCCCTTGATGGTCTTTGATTGCTGGCATGTGTGGTGAGACAGACGAGGCTTTATTATTATTGGATTTTTGTAGCTGATATAACATATTATATTATATTTGTTTTTGTTACTAGAATTAATTTGATTTATTTATTGTAAACCAATGTATAACTGCTATTTAGCGTTAATAAACAATATTATTATTATTATTATTAGCAATTTTTTTTTTAAAGTGATTGGGGATCATGTTAAAAACTAATTTAAAAATCTAAAACTTTTGAAATACAAAACTTCGTTTGAAAAAAAAATTATAAAAAATTATTAGTTTTTCTCACTTTTTTAGGATTTGTTCTTTTATTTTTTTTAAAAGTGGTCGGGGCTCAGGCTAAAAATTAATTTACAAATCTTAATTTTTGGAAGTACCTTCAGGAAAGTAAAAAAGTAAGAAAAAACCTAGTTTTTTTTAAATTATGAGTTTTTACCACTCTTTTAGAATTTGTTTAAATTTTATTTAAAGTGGTCGGGGCTCAGGTTAAAAAATAATTTACAAATCTGAATTTTTGAAAGTACATTCAGGATAGTAAAAAAGTAAGAAAAAACCAAGATTGAATATTTTTTTTAAATAATGCGTTTTTCCCACTTTTTTAGGATTTGTTCCAACTTTTTTTTAAGTGGTAGGGGCTCAGGTTTTATTAAAAGTGTATGGTGCTCAGGTTAAATAGCAATTTAAAAATCTGAGTACCTTCAGGATAGTAAAAAAGTAAGAAAAAACCTCGTTTGAAATTTTTTTTTAAAAATGATGAGCTTTTCCTACTTTTTTACGATTTGTTTTAATTTTTTTTATAAAAATGGTTGGGGCTCAGGTTAAAAATTAATTAAAAAATCTGAATTTTTGGGAGTACGTTCGGGATATTTTTTTTTATTATTGACGTTATTAGCACATCTTTTTTTCAAATAATATATATTAAATAAAATAGATTTTGTTTATTTTTTAAAAGGGCGAGGAGAGGCATGTTGTGTCATGGTTTTTAATTTTAGAAAGTTGGTCACCTTAATTATATGATAAATATAATACAAATAATTGATAATATCAAAATACATTATTTTTTTTTTAATTGCATGAGATAAAATATAGTTTGAATTAACGATATAAAAATTCAGTTTCATTTTTGTTCACTCTACCGTTTACGTTTGGTAAAGCCCCCCAGCAACTGGCCTAATGGCTAGGGTTGCCAGATTTTAAAAAATTGAAAGCAGGACAAATTATTTTTAAAAACGAACTAGACAGCGCTGCAGGCGAAGTTTTTTTGAGATTATAATAATAATGCCAATAATAATACATAAAACATTCTTGTTTTCCATACTTTTTTTTTAGTTAATCATTCATTGATATTTAAAAATGAAGCTTTCATTCTTTAAAACTTTATTCTTTTTTAACCTTTAAACTGTCCTTCAGTATATATGTACATGGTGTCATGTAGTAAGTTGTTATCCATTAGGGGAATGATGGTTCAAGCCAAGTAAGCAAGTTTTTCCTCTATCACTTTTGCATTACTGCCGTGCTTAATGAAAACGCCGTAACCAACAATTGTGCGATTTTTGTTTTACGGCATTTTCTACTAGAACAATTCATCCTGCGTCTATCCCCGGTACTCAAAAAACCGTATATATATAGATACGGTTATTTCCATTAGCCAACGTTAGGCGCGCGGAATTTTGTAACACGGTTGGCCGCTAGGTCTTCGATCGTAAGTCATTTTGTGTTGGTTATTATGTGACCCTTATATTATAAATTATTAAAAAATGTTAAAATATAGTTTTATTTATGAGTATACTTTAATAAAAATGAATATTTTTACAGGAAGTGGCTAGTTACCTGGAAGTGTCGGGTGAATAGGCCGTAAAACTAATTACCCGAAATTCTTTTTTTTATTATATCTGAATGAGCATTAAAAAATAACCAAAAAAAAATTTTGTTGATTTTATCCCTTAAATATATTAATATACTAATTAGTATTGCTAAAATATACTGTTATATGAAATTTCAGCTTTTTATAAGCATTTCTTTTTTTGATGTCCTCCCAAAAATATTTCAGACAGTTCAATAAGTTTTCGGTAGTCATCTCTCAAAATAGACTCTTTTAGTTATTTAGAGTAAAACCCATTAAGTTTATCAATTTCAGAGTTTACGGCCTATTCACTTCCGGGTAACTAGCCACTCTCTGTGAAAATATACATTTTTATAAAAGTATACACATAAATAAAACTATATTTTAACATTTGTCAATAATTTATAATATAAGGGTCACATAATAACAAACACAAAATGACTTACGATCGAAGACCTCGCGACCAACCGTGTTACAAAATACCGCGCGCCTAACGTTGGCTAACGGAGGGTTCAGATGCAAGTCGGCACGGGTTCCCGTTTATAGAATGAGCTGAAATTTTTACTGGGAGTATATAAACACGTAATAAATATAATTAGAGGGTATGCGTGAAAAAATAAAAAATAAGGGACACCCTAATGTATATACTCTAAAGAAAATTGTCTTAATAATAAAGACACGCAGCGTTACATTAAATTCATCTACCCAAATGCTCTACGAGTTAAATGTTAGGAAACACTTATAATAATATCGAATGTTTCATTAAATTAATTACGGTTTTTAACTTTTATAGACAGTGTTTTAAATAATAAAAGATTGGCCTCAAATTTACCTAAAACTTAAAAATTAATACTGACTTTTTTCAGTGTAAGCAACTAAGGGTCTTTATGTTTCGATTTTCATTTTATCTTATTATTATTGCATTATTATTACATACAATTTTAAGTAAGTAAGGCTGACACCGATATTAGCTATTTAAATATCGCAGTTGTATTGACCACGACTGCTAGAGATTGTATCTTTTGTTGGTTGTATTATGTTTTAACTGTATTGTTGGCTGCGTTTACCCAAAAGGCAGTCGTTTGGTAAACAAATCAGCCCAATCAGAGTAGAAATTACAAAATGCGTATTCAAGATTAATTTTTTACACTTTCGGATAATATTTTCATTAAAAATTTTGCCGCCCTTCATCAGCCTGCCGCCCTAGGCAGCTGCCTTTCTTGCCTAATGGATAAATCGGCCCTGGGCATAGCTAAACCTACATTGTTTGGAGTCCCCATCTCCATACTCATCTGCTCAGTAACGAATAATGGCTAGCTAGTCGAGTGTGTTAAACATATAGGATATACCTATCCAGGACGTCTGTAGACTTTTTTTGAATGTCCAGTCGGTTGTGGCCGGCACTCGGCCAACTATACACAGCCGACACTCTGCCGAGTAAACATAGCCGACATTCGGCCAGGCGGATATGCCCGACAGTTGGCCAGGCGGACATGCCCGTTCTACACGCCGGAACAAATACATGTGTCGGGCCGCACGCGGCCGATTCGGCAAAACGTATTCGGGCCGTATGCGGGCCGGCTATCTTGTGCTTACTGGGATAAAAACTAACCTAATTCTAAGGCATTTGTTTGGCACGACCTACCTAATGTATAAGCGGTTGGGGTCGACGGACTAAGTAGAGTCGGCCAGTTGTTTAACTGTGGTTCTTCTCGGTACTGCTGTCGATGATTTTAACGGGCTGACTATACTTTGACTACAGGTGTTTCTGACACAACGAAACCAGTGTCTGTCTATCAAATCCTTATTATTAACGTTAATTTTCATGAATTTTTTTATTCAAAAACAGTAGCAAAAGTGATAGAAGAAAAACTTGCTTACTTTGGCGTAAACTATTGATCCCCCAAGGGATGACAAGTTATTACATGACACCCTGTATACTTATCAGATGATATAACTTTATTTAGAGGGAAAACATTGTTGCTTCTTTTTTTATCGTTTTGAAGTTGTTCGTTACAAATTTCAACAACCAGATTCCAGGGTTACAATTGGGCTGCTCATGAACAGTGTCCAACACAGCTCCCACATTCAAAATAAATCCTAAATAGGCTTTTGCTAGCTCCTGGTCAAACATTTGTTTGAGCATTGGCGGGAGCGAGTCGACCTTTGATTGGAGCTAAATGTTTTATCAATTTGACAACCACCGCATCGATACTGAGACAGATCACAGATCATAAGGGCGCAGCAACTCAGACCAAGTCTCATTGTTCAACATGTCACAGATTCTCACAATACAAACCGCAAAAAATTCTTTGTCAGGTATCAAACTTAATTTTAGTTAGACCTGGAGCAATCAAATTTAAATTAGAAAAAATAGATTAATCGGGACATTTTAATACTTCCGCGGGACGCGAGACTTGTTTTAAAAATCGGGACGTATGGCAACCCTACTTAGGGCCCCCACCAACCCAAATACGGCCCTGACACTATTTTAATTTTAATTTTATCGTAAAAATGTGTTCCTAAACTGCGTCTTAAACGCTATTTATTAATAAAATTAGTTTTATAGCTCAAAAATGCATTTATCTACTCCTATTGCATAATACTGTTTTTTCGTGAATAATGATAAACATTTTAAGTTCCCTGCCTAACGGGAATAATGAACTCATTATTCACGTTGTAAGGCATTAGTGATTGGCCGATTTCAATATTCTCTGTGATTAACACCAATCGGGTTTTAAATTGGGAGAAGGCGACTATAATAACATTTAATTATCTAATTATTGGAGTAGACAAAGTATAGAGTTACACTCGAGATTATGCGCATAATCTCTTGAATAATAATATACTATTATCTACATCTACACAAGCTGTAACTTTATGGCGTTTTAGTCACAAGTTATTATTATTATTATGAAGTTATTATTATTATTATAAATTGGGAAAAGTGAGATTAAATTCGGGCAACATTTGAAAGATAACAAATAAAATTGGCTTTATGTATCAAATTTTATAAAAGCCATTTTAGTTACGAGTTTTATTAGACACGAGCGAAGCTTGCGTTTTTTTCAAATTATTTATTTTAAATGCCATTTTAATAGACTTGTAATTACGCAACTTTTGTATAATTTAACCGACCTTGTAACCTAAAACATGGATAAACCTTAGAGCATAAAATACGGGAATCCTTTAGCCTTAGAGTACATAAAACATGGATAAACCCTAAAAGATACAATACGGCCGTATTCCGGGAATCTCCATTTTCAATAGGTACCCACTGTATTTTGAAATTAATAAAAAATCCGCTGATTTTTATTATTTAACATTATAACAAATCCTTACATGAATAAATCAAAGCTGGGAAAATCTGCTCATTTCTTTCCTGTGCAGTCTCAACTAAAATCCTTAAAGGTCCTTTGGGCATTAAAACAGCTACAAGATCTACAAAAAAAAATCAATAAAATATTTTTGTACAAAGGTTAATTTTACCCCAAACTGATATAACTCCAAGTACAGCCCATGTAGTCCATTCTGGTAGATACTTGATGAAAACTAGAGCCATTAGCGCAGCAACAAAAATAAGATAGGCTTGTTGTAACAGTAATGGGCCTTGCCAGTGAATACACAACATTCCCATTACACCAAAGTTCCACATTATAAAAAACAATGTCACATAGTCCAGTGGTAGGTTGTAGGCCTTTAAAATTACCCTGAAAATATTACATTATATGGTTTATTTGTTAAATTGCATTTTTGAAATTCTTTTATAAGCCTTCACGTTGGTAATTTGGCGTTTTCAACTTAAAAAATATATAATCTTCCAAACATTTTTTTTTAAATAGTGATATAATAGCTAATAATACTAATATTTAAAAAAAAATGTTTGGAAGATTATATATTTTTTAAGTTGAAAACGCCAAATGTACCAACGTGCCTTAATGGTGAGCCATTTAGCCTACAAGGAGTATAAACGCGGCGGCGTCGGATCAAAATGGAGATCAGCGCCGCTAGTGGTGGAAAAAAATTTTGTGCTATTTAGTAGGCAGGTTCTGTCAAGTCCCCCTATTGAGTTTGTACTCCTTGTGTCAGAGTTGGCAGCCCAGTGGGAAACCGAAAAAAATAGAATGGGTTTTTTGGGTAAAACCTACTTAAAAAAGCCCACAGGTTTTTTTAAATTTATTTTTTCTTTTAAATCTTAACTATTTGAATACATCTTATATTTTTGTATTTTGTTAAAATAAAACATAATACAACAAAGTGTTATGTACAGTCACATGCATTGGATCAGTACCACTGTTAGGTTTCATGTTACCTTGGTTAAGATCCTAGAGTAGGCAGAGCTATGACTCTAAGCCCGCAAGCAATTTTTGAATGTCGTTGCTACTGATCTATTGCTCCCAACTGTATGTAAAAAAACTCAAGTCTTTAATTAAAAGCAGTACACTTGTTAAATCACTAGCTAAAACTTAAAAGAATATCCGCATAAAGCACTAGTAAAACTAAAACTGCTTTAATGTATTAAAAATTCTAATTTGGAATACGAAGAAAGAATCAAACTAAACTTAATTTTAAAGTTTGGGGATTCCCCTGCCAATCTGTTTTTACCTATTCATTTAATAGTTGACGCACGACCGCGAAAATAAGTCGTATAAAGAAGGTTGTGAAATTTTTACTACCTTTTTTTATACAGATTTCACTGTGAAAATACTTGATTTATTCTTATGATCAGTATTTTTTTTAAATGTTGTTTCACTAAAATCTGTATAAAATTAAGAAAACCCACTTATGAAACCCAAAAAAGCCCAGTGGGTTGGGTTTTATACCTACAAAATTGTATAGGCTCCATGATTTGAGCATTTAAAAATTATATATATTATAATTATATTATATATTAGGGTGCAACAAAAAAAATATCGAGTTTTTTGGCACACCCTAATATATATATACATATAAATGTATCAAGTGACTTCCGAAATAGGTACGCAACATACGTTGTGGCTTCCATATATAGGTTGTCACTTCCAACCTTTTGATTGTTGTCAGAATATTTAGCCACTATAGAGCACAAGGAGCTCAAATCCGAAAACACGGGTGGAAGTGACTACGTAGCTTTCGTACCTTTTCAGTTTGGCACTTTACGTGTTCGAGGGTTATATATATTAGGGTGTTTCAAAAAAATCGACTTTTTCTTTTTCTTCAAATGGTCGGCAAATTCTTTCAGAGGATGTCAACACAAAGACCTCGTCAAAATTTGAGCTTTTAATTTGAAGATTTAGAGGTCGCGGATCGCAATTTCCCATTTAAATAACATGGGAATTTTTTTTTTTTTAACTTTGGAATTTTATACGTCTGAATCAAATCAACTTATGTCAAGGATCATCTTAGATTTTTATAGTAAATTTAACGCTCTACAAAAAAGGTCTCCTATCATTTTTCTATAAATTGATTCCTTCCAGAGTTATTCGAGGCCAAAGTTTGATTTCCATCGAATTTTCGCGTTTTTTTAACATTTATGGTACAATTATCATTATACGGGTGTCCCGAAATCAGGGGGCCAAACTTAAACATTATTCGTATAAAAATAACACTTTTTTTGTTTAATAAACATGTATCAAAAAATGCTCCCTAAAGGAGCTACGGCCCCCTGAATAGGAGCCTAAGAGTATAATTTTTTTAAAACTATTCCTAGAGGGTTGAACATGAACAAATGAATTTTCGGTAGGTACTTTGGTAATTTTGACATGCTGAATCTAGATCTATGATCAAAACTGTTAAAATTTAATCATAGGCGTAACATTTGGAGGGGGCAAAGTTACAAAAATAGCCCCAACTTTTTTCTGGGTTAATAATTTAATTTTTTTTATGAAATTATGAGAATTTATAGTTTTTTACGAAAAATGGGTACTCTTGATTTGAATTGCTCAGATGCACCATTTTCGAGAAAAATGCATTTATAAATAAATTACTTTGCAAATTATACACATCTCATATTTTCATTAAAACTTTGTAGTAGGCTTTGGACAAAAGTGACGTTTTTTTGTTTTTTTTACAACACTTGCTATGTTTCAGATATAAATATGTGATTTTTTTACTACATGATGCTAAAAGTTGAAAAAACGAGAAAATTCGATGGAAATCAAACTTTGGCCTCGAATAACTCTGGAAGAAATCAATTTATAGAAAAATTATAAGAGACATTTTTTATAGAGCGTTAAATTTACTATAAAAATCTAAGATGGTCCTTGCCATAAGTTGATTCGATATAGACGTATAAAATTCCAAAGTTAAACAAAAAATATTCCTATGTTATTTAAATGGGAAATAGAAAATTGCGATCCGCGACCTCTAAATCTTCAAATTAAAAGCTCAAATTTTAACGAGGTCTTTGTTTTGACATCCTCTGAAAGAATTTGCTGAACATTTGAAGAAAAAGAAAAAGTCGATTTTTTTGAAACACCCTAATATATATAACCCTCGAACACGTAAAGTGCCAAAATGAAAAGGTACGAAAGCTACGTAGTCACTTCCACCCGTGTTTTCGGATTTGAGCTCCTTGTGCTCTATAGTGGCTAAATATTCTGACAACAATCAAAAGGTTGGAAGTGACAACCTATATATGGAAGCCACAACGTATGTTGCGTACCTATTTCGGAAGTCACTTGATACATTTATATGTATATATATATTAGGGTGTGCCAAAAAACTCGATATTTTTTTTGTTGCTCTCCACCCAAAATATCGTAGAATATGTCCGAACCACAGACCTACAAACAAGATGGACCGGTTTATTTACATTGAAAAGAGTGGCCAGGAACAAAAATAAATATTTTCCCTCAGTTGTCACATTTGACTTTGAAGTTTCTATATTTTACGTAAAAGATACTTGGAATCCACAACATTTAATATTTTTTATTTGGTTTTATAGTGAAAAATACCAATAGTGAGTGATATAAAAACGGTGAAGCAGTGCTACGTTTGTAAAAGACTTGGATCCAAGAATTTAAAACTTTCTTTTCATAGGTTAGTTTATTTACAAAACAAACCCTGCCAGGAGCGTAGAAACTGAATAAATAAATGAATTCACTTAAATTTTAGATTTAAACAGCCAGATACTACATCATCTGGAACACTAACTGACAAGGTTAGTATTTTCTTATACCTATATATTTATATATATTAAATATAATTTTTACATAGGATTGCAAAACACAATAAAAAATGTACAATTTAATATTTTTATTTATCCCTAAAAACAGAACGCCACTGGTGTGGGAACTTGTTTATAAATACCCCTTACCCCTTTACCCCTAATCTAAATAGTTCTTGGCAACAAAACATTGTGTATTTTGAATAGGAAAGGCCAGTCCATCTTGTTTGTAGGTCTGTGGTCCGAACAAATATTCTGTTAAAAGCGGAGCTCATAATTTCAATTTTAAGAGGTCCTTCATCGAATCTGAAGTTTTGCCGCTTAAATAACACAGAGTTTTTAACTTATTTATTCTTGCAACCTAGGAAGAATTTTTTTTCCATAAAATCCATGACCAATTCTTACAAAGCATTAAATTTTGACAAAAAAATCTTATTAAGCCGAATTTCTATTTTCATTATTTGATTTTTTACAGAGCTTTAAATTTAAAGTTAATAATACAAAAATGATGACTTTATACGCCTAGGCGCGCCTGTAACTTTTAGAATATTGACGATACAAAAAATTCGCCTAAAACTTTTTTGTGGTCCATCAGACAGGCTAAAAAATTGCCATTTGACTTTTTCGTCTAACTTCAATAGTTTAGCTAAAAAAAGCAAAAAACGTAAAATTTTAAATTTAAAGCTCTGTAAAAAATCAAATAATGAAAATAGAAATTCGGCCTAATAAGATTTTTTCGTCCAAATTTAATGCTTTGTAAGATTTGGTCATAGATTTTATGAAAAAAAATTTTCTTCCTATTTTGCAAGAATAAATAAGGTAAAAAAGTCAGTTTTCTGTGCTATTTAAGCAGCAAAACTTCAGATTCGATGAAGGACCTCTTAAAATTGAAATTATGAGCTCCGCTTTTAACAGGATATTTGTTCGGACATATTATACGATATTTTGGGTGGAGAGCAAGAAAAAAAAACATCGAGTTTTTTTGGCACACCCTAATATATATATATATATATATATGTATATATATTTTTTTTATTTCATTTATTTATTGATTACAAGAATCCATAACAGGTAATATGGTATAATTATGTAGATACATTTCTTTGACTTAATAAATATTTTTTTAACAGATATGTATTCTGACAGTCGGTTTAAACCATATAGTTGCAGTATGTCCGATTCTCCTTTGACCCATATTTCTGGCACTAGGCAAAACATGATAGTGTTGATTTGTCCTGGTGTTGTGTTGGTGTATTCGACAGATCATTATTCTGTTTGAAGCATGCTATTTTTTATTTAACTTTACAGAATCCAGTTTAATAACCTCGTATACTTGAAACAACTTTAGGTCATGATAGAGAGTTAGTGTATTTGTTCTAAAAGGTTTGCAAAATATGAGTTTTGTTGTACGATGCAGTTGGTCTAGGTAATACTTTGTTGCTTGGCCCCAAATACATGGAAGGTACATTAGATCTGTGTTTCTACAGTGACCGGCAAAAGTCTACATCAACAGACCACAAAATTTAGAAGACTTTAGAAATCAAATTCGTGAAGAATTTGACA